TTGACTCAGGGTGCAACTCCATGACTCCATGCTCATGCACACTGCATACTGATAGTGGTTCGCTGTGCCCAGCTGTACACTAGGCGTAACTGGACCTAGCACAAACATGAACACCACACAGGGGGAGGGAACTTACATCGTCAGAGATCAAATTCTCCGTCCACTTTTCATCGCCGGCCACAAAAGCGCCCGGCTCGCCTTCTTCCTCGTCGTCCAGGAGTTCCAACACTAGTGGTTTGTCAGGCGGCTTCTCGATAATACAAATCTCATCCTCATCAAACCCTAGGATGTTGATAACAATATCACCACCAGCACTAGAAGACGTCTGACTCTCGCCCGATGCCGCAGTGCTCTTGGCCTCGGTAGTGGCTGCTGCGCCGTCAGCACCAGAAACCGAGCTCACGCCAGCAGCAGCAGAAGCAGCAGCAACACCCTTCGTGGCAGCAGTAGCAACACTATTGGCGGCGGCCGCAGCAGATGAAGCCGATGCAGAGCTACGCGTAGCAACACGAGCAGAGCTGGTAGAAGTCACCGCAGCCGTACTTACACTGGTGGCAGCTGAAGAACTAACAGATGCGGATGCAGGAACAGGAGCAGCTGAAGAACTAACAGGCGCAGGAACAGGAGCAGCAGCAGAAGCAGCAGCAGCGCTGGATTTCGCCGTGGATTTCGTCGTAGATTTAGCCGTAGCACTGGGAGCAGTTCGTCTTCCAGACGAAGTAGCTTGAATGGCAGCGGCGGCGGCAGTGGCAGCAGCACGACGGGTACGCTTGGCAGGTGGTGAGTGAGGCGCAGGTGACGTTGGTGACTCCGATGACTCCGACTGTGAACCAGATGGTGACCACTCTGGTGACGACGCTGAAGACATGGCTGAAGATACCGCTGAAGAACTCATCGATAAAGATGGAGACGGAGGTGCCAGAGTAACCTGCCCACCGCTCGCCGTTGTGACGCGCAAGGAGGAATGCGGTCGTTTTCGAGACGCACTACCGCTCTCACCTTCTTGACCCTCCGCTGCTCCAGATGACGACGGACGTGGACCAGCCGACATGATGAGTGAGGACCCCGTCGACGTCACGGTGCGTTGTCCTTCAGCTGGTGAGGAGCTCGAAGTAACGCCAGTGGCCGTTACAGTTCTTTTACCAGCCTGCGGGGCACTGCTGAATGCTGGCGTAGTACTGTTCTGATTTGCAGCCTTGGCTGCCGCAGCAGCAGCAGCCGCTGCTGTTGCTTCTTGGGCTTTTCTCCTTTTCTTTTGTCGCCGTTTCTGTGTGTTAGTCATTGGAGGCGGTTGTGCTGCTTCTGCTTCAAACGACAAGTTAAAATCTGGGACGGGCTGGTGAGCGTCCGGCAAACCTGCAGCAGGAGACATGACAGCGCGTCGAGACGTCCGTTCTTCCAGCAGCAGCGAGGGTGGCGCTGAGCTGGCATGATCAGTGTAATGATGGCGCTGATGATTGTGTTGAGGATGTTGATGATGACCAGGCGTTTTGCTAGTGCTGACGGCGCTATCGCGCTTAGCCCTACCCGGGCTGCGTTCATCCAGCAAACCGGGTGTCGACGGTGCACTACTCGCCTGCTGGCCACGGTAGAGCGGACTCGAGCCACTGCCTCTAGGTGAGCGATTGGGCGAGAAAGACGGTGCAGGGGTGGGGTTGTGCGAATGTGAAAACTCGAACGGCCGCGTCGACGGCGGCGGCGTTTCCGACACAGGAGACGTGGGAAGTGGATACGCTCTGTCACCATGGCGATGCGCCAGCCCTGGAGAATGGTGGCGAGGTGCCATCAATGGGGAGCGGTGATCATTTCTCGATCGGTCGTGGCTTGGGTAGTCTCTGGAACGGGTTTGCAAACGATCAAAAGAAGGCTCGCGAGAATAATCACGAGAACGACCAAGGGAACGCTCACGAGAATGCTCGCGAGAATATCCTCGGGAATGATCACGAGAATTTTCCCTTGAGTGTCCTCGAGACGGACCTTGCGCATGCTCTCCAGGCATATAATGTTCATTTCTCGATGCTACTGCGGCCACTACCGGTGCAGCTGCTGCTGCTGCTGATGGTGGTGCGCCGCCGCCGCCACCAGAAGAAGCAGCAACAGAACTGAAGGAGCTTCTCTGCATAATACTACCAAAGCGGGGGCCTGCTAGTGCTGGTGGGTATCGAAACGAGTTGAGCTGAGTATTCACGTGCTCCTGTCTCTGCCTGTCAGTGGGTTGTGGCCAGGCGGCATGCTGGTGAGGATGGTGCTGCTCATGGCGTACTTCTTGCCGATGTTGATGATTAGCCACGGGAGCTCTGTGGCCCCAGTCGTATACAGCATGTCTTCCCGAAGACATTGTCGTCGGCGGACCACTGTTACCAGTGGCAGCAGAGCCGTGAGCATAATCCAACGACGACATAGTTCTGCTGGCGGTTGGCATGTTGCTTGTCGCGCCAACAACACCTTGCCTCTTTTTGAAGTCCTCTACGCGCTGCAGTGCTTCTCGAAGGGAATTGTAGATATTGCCACTCAGCAGGCTGGGTATGGTACTGGTACTAGATGTAGTGCAAGTTGCCAATGTGCCGTTAGTGCTGGGCGTGTTCAGAGAGACAGAGGGTTGTGTTCCATCACCTATGGACTGTTTCCCCAGTTCCGCACTGCTGCCGTGCCTTGGACCATAATCTGTCCAGCCGTGGTCGTACACTTGCCGACTGCCCTCTTGTGTCTGCTGTTGCTGCGGCTGCTGCTGCCCGAGGGTGTACGCAGTCCCACTGCTGTACCCAGTGTGTTGTTTTTGTTGGCCGTGCTTGGTGCCTATTTCCTTCCGGTCCCTCACATTGAAGCTCATACTAAGTAGACACAAAGCTAGTAGAGTCTGGCTGTGAATACAGGCACACACATGCCAAGCCAATCAAGACGCCATCGTGTGGAATACTGAAACACTGCAGAGCACACACACAAACATACATGCATGCATGCATGCACACACACACACACACACACACACACACACGCGCGCGTGCGCGCACACGCACACACACGCACGCACACGCACACACACACACACACACACACACACACACACACACACACAACAATAATGCGTAAAGTAGCGTAGTCTAAATACAGCCAGTAGTAACGCCTTCAACGCAGATGATTTGATGTATGCTCTCAACCTCAGCAAGGAATTGAAATGATAGTACGAAGTGGACCTGATAGATCAAATTTCTTTCCCAGGGATAATCATACATCAAATGTAACAGCAACAGGGCGAGCATTAAAAAAAACACTTCTGATGACAATAGACAAGAGGAGATTACTGGGTGACATCACTTTTACACAATGGACTTCCAAGAAAGAAAGGTCTATTGTGCAATGATTTGGCTACGCATCAGAGACCCTTTGAAAGCCTGATCAACATTACAGTGCAAAGGGCGCAGCTATGGCTCATCTTATCACAGTAAAACTACAAGAATTCAGTATACCGGTACATGAAATCGATACGCAGCACTAAACAGCAGCACTGTTAGTTTTGGGTCTGGTCTCGGGTTTTCACGGTATTACCCCTCATTCAGAAACTGTTTCTATGCTAATGCCTTTGGTAGGCAAATACTACTTGCGACTACGGGTACTACAAACAAATGCTGCCTTCATCGTCATTTTACTACAGTCAATCTGGATATGTTCAAACCGTACCCAATCTAACTATTAGGGTTTTCATCAACGGTACAGGCGGGAAAAGTGAATTCTGATCATTGCATATTGATAACACATCACTCAAATACAAGCGAGCCAAATATACACACTACATGTAAGATACGTATGCTATCGCCGAGTACTGCGCAAACACCCGGGAGGCCCTCCCTATGCTGCTCTGCATACCGTATTATCTCCATTACAAGCCCAGTCTATATTATAAGCGCACTCCAAGAGGGCTTCGAAGATATACAAGCACAGTCTCCAATAAAAGCGCAGGGCCTATAATGGAGGACTGTACGGATCATGTCCATGCACGTTTGACGTCCACAGTATCACATACACACATGCTATGCCGCAAGTCTGTGATCCCCGAGATAAAAATGTACAGACTCCGTGCTCCAGGAAGTGCAAAACTGCATTCACGGTACCTGGTGGGAAATTTTGTACTACTGGTACTTCAAAGTATAAGAAGAAAAATACTTGTACCATATGGTTGAAAGATTATAAGCCCAGTCTCCAATATAAGCCCAGGGTCAGGACTGGTTGAAAAAATATAAGCCCAGGGCTTATAATGTATAATGGAGATAATACGGTATTAATTATTTGGGTACTGTGCACTTCTATTCAAGCTGCCTCGACCTCCAGGCCCTGTTTGTATCTGGGTGCTGTATACTGAAGCTTCACTGTACATGTAAATATTACTAAATAACTCACTTGGAAATTCACTACCTCGTTCTAATGGACAAAATAAGTTTCTCTCTTGCATTCACAAAAATACTCACATAAAGAAGATATGCCTCGGACCAACCACGGGCGCGCCCACTTCAGTGCAGCTCAAGGACCAGGTGAGTGCCGCCCAGCTGCGCTCGTTTTGCAATACTATTAATTTTTACTGGACAATTTTGTTATGAGGTGCTTGACCTTGAAAATATTCTCAAACTACGACCAAACAAGTGTGCGTATCAAAACACAATCATGGCGCGGTGGATGAAAAATTACACTCACAAAGTCTCCTCAAGATACTAGCATTTCTAGAAGAACTCTCCAGCACGCACTCCAAAGGGAAATAATTCCTCGTCAATTCCGTGTCCAACGGAATGAATGGAAACTTCCCACATGTACGAGTACACCAGAGAGTCTTGTGTGTGTGTGTTTTTTTGTGGCTTGTGCTTTTTCTTGTTGATGTAAAAAAACACGAGATCGAGAATCATCATCTTCCGGCCATGACGTCGTTATGAATCCATAGCAACGAGTCGGCGTCAGGGTGGAAGAAGAAGACAACGACGACGCCAGCTGCCAACAACAAAAAAGGCTGTCAGGGAGATACGGAATCATAGTCTTTTCAATTTCAGGGCCAAGCCAAGGCAAAGACTGCGAACCACGCTGACGTTTTTTTCTGTCCACTGGCACCGACCCTCAGCCACCAGCCTGGCTCCAGCTCTATCGCTGGGTCTGGAAGAACACGTATCTTGCCATTATCGTACCGGACACTTGTCATAGGATTGTCAAAATAAAAATGGTTTCAATTAAACTGATCGCCTTAGCTATTGGATTAGCGGTACTTGCCACCAGTTCTCTCACTGATGGAACTCTGTCAAAGAAAGAAAAACAAGCAAAGAAGGTCAGTCATTCAAATTACTAATCCGAAGTGTAGGCTAGAGAATGACACTTGAAGAGACAACACAGAAATTTCAAAGTGACAATGTAAAAGCTAGATAAAGTGAAGTGACATTTCAGGTAACGAAGTTCTAGTAATTGCTATCTGTGCAGTTGAAGAGGAACTTTGGGATAAAATCACAATTGTTTCAGAGCACGGAATTTGGACAATGGAATAAGTAAAGCCGTAGGCAATGCTCAACTGAATACCTGTATAATTGTATATCCAACTTACTAGTGGTGTGGCGCTGGTTTTATTCGTTTAGGAGAAAGAACTGAAGATTGACAAGAGTGCAGCGAAAGAAGCTGTTCACAAGCGTGGATTGGTGGTGGAGGCCACACGCAGTAAAGACATCGTCAAGGAGCATGCCAGATGCCATGATCAGTCGGCTGAGGAGGCGAAGTTCCCTGCGACTACTCTTGTCTACGTTACTCCGGTACTGTTTTGTGTGTGTGTGTGTATGTGTGTGCGCGCGCGCGCGCGTGTGTGTGTGTCCGTGCGTGTGTGTGTGTGTCCGTGTGTGTGTGTGTGTGTGTGTGTGTGTGATCCGCGGTAGCACTGTCCCAGTAAGACAGGGATGTTGGGTTCGAGTCCCGCTCGTGGATCCTTCTTTTGCAACAATACGGAGTATGTTATCCTGGGTCGAATGGTCTTGCCCGGAAGAAGTCCACCGGTCGAAAAGGCTCTGAAACCGGCCATTCGATATATTCCTGCATTCAAAATGTATTGTGTTTTCTTCTTTGGTGGGAATTCCCCAATAGCCGTGATACAACACTGTACTTCAGCCAGTTCAGGAGTAGTTTGAGGGAGTTTCCCTTTGTTTGGTATTGCTTCTCTGTGTTGGCTGTAGTGGAATGCACACGGCTATGACATTGCAAAGCGCTTTGGAGGCAAGTTCACCTTGTTGTCGCCAGTGTGGCTGCAAATCAAGAAACAGTAAGTAGTAGTAGACAAGAAGACCAAAAGACCTTTCACCATGGTCTTGGTCTTAGATGCTGCTAATCCGAAACTCTATCTCCAACTTTGTGCGCCCGCATATTAGTTTTTGGCTTGTTTTCTGAGAATACCCTTGTATTCTGTGTATTCTCTGTGGTCTGTGCGGTCTGTGTGTTTGTGGTTGAATATTGTGCCATGGACAGGCATGGGACCTTCAAGGTGCAAGGTGCACATGACATTGATCAAGGTAACTTTTCCGTTGCAACTATCTTGTGCGTGTGTGAAACACGAGTTGCCCAGTTTTTCTGACCCTGTACGATGTGATGTGGGTCTGCACTATATGCACGGATTGCTATTCCACAGTGACCACCATCTTGATCGAGGACATAGGATGGACATTCTCGCACTTGTAATGCTCCTTTCAGAACCTCAGGGTCAGAATTGCAGAGCTTGCATGGAAGCATAGTGCATACCGTGTGGGTAGCAACAACAAATGACTGGGCACCATATCTAGCTAGCAGATACTCTCAGCCAGCATGCGAATATGTTGCTTACAAGCAGCCATGTTTCTCTCTTTTTTCCGTTTCTTCACTGATTCTCGCAACAGCCCCAGTCCCATGCGGTACTGTGGGGGATGCATCCAACGCATCATCCTGGATCAGCCCGCTTTGCTTGTTTCCCTGCCTGCATCGCATCCAGTGACGCTTCCTCGTGCTCATTCATCTTGTTTATATTCCCATCACAGGCTGGCTAAAGGATGTGAAGAAGAACAGGAAAATAGAGATTGGTAAGCACACACACAACACACACATGGATAGTGGAGTGTTAAAGTCATTGACCTGGAGTGAAGCTCGTGCGTAACATCATGCTCCGAAGGTTGAACCAGTATGCTTTGCTTCACGCCATGTATGTAGATGTACATGCACTGTGATGTGTGCAACTACTGTCGCGGACATGGACATCCATTGAGCTGTCAAGCGGCCACGGGGCGCTGGCCTTGCAGCCGTGAGCACTGCTGGTCCATTTTTACACTGTGTATATGAACTACAGTGCATGTACACGCTAAAAGCAGTAAGGGTGCCTGCCCCGGTTATCTCATTGGATTTCGATGTCCACGACAGTACATTCCCATGCTGCTGCATGAATGTACACTCAAACGTCTCTTATCCGGACGCCTCGGATACGGACACGTCTCTCTACCGAGCACCTTCAGCTTGGGGTTCCTATGGCAAAATGCTTCGAATTTGGGGGTTTGAACTTTTTTTTTCGTTTGCTGTGTGCCCTATGCTGCCAGTTCCCCGTGTCCTCTTCGACGGCTGGCGCTCAGAAGACTTCCAGGTGGTGATGAGCAACGAGAAGGTTGCGCGCTCCATGGCGGGTATTCTAGCCGACTTCTTGGTGGTGAGTTCACTGAGTTTGCTAGTTGCTATATCACCAACGCACGACAGCTAAATGTTAGAAAAATCGCATGAGCTGATTGTTTAGTAACTGGTGGTGTTAGTGGACATTATAGCGTAACTTGTAGTTCCTTGGTCTTTTTTTCTTTTCTATAAAAATCTTTTCTCTTTTTCTTTTTGGACGCAACCAGTTATATTTTCCATTATACAACAATGAGAAAAAGCAAAGACAATTGTACAACTAACTCTCTGTTTTCCTGCACTGGCCGAATAACCTATGACAACAGTTAATGGAAAATTGCACCCTGCGCGCACGTTCATGCTGCTTTCATTTCTCCTCAAGGTCTTCGTCTGAACTTTTTATGTTGTTTGCTTCTCCAGGACAATGACTTCCACGGATGTGTCATTGAAGTGTGGAGTCAATTCGCTGGACATATGCGAAGGTACGTCAGTCTGAATAGCGTGATCTACCTTGAAACAAAAAGTTTAACGGACAAATTGTTCACCGAGTTCTGAAAATATCCGTTGGTGCATAGAAAGCAGGGCGGATTAACCCCCGATAATGCTGCTTATACCTCATTCCGTATTCACCTACATGCAATTTCCCACCTACATAAGTTTTGAATATTCCTCAACGTTCACTGCTTATATTCACCACTGTTGTTCACTGCTGAGAGGTTGTAACTATTGGACTTTCAAGGGACTTAGAATTTTTTCTCTTTCTAGTACAGTCGTCCCTCTCTAATCCGGCACTTGTTTATCCGGAACCCTTGCCAACCGGCGCACTTTCTGACGAAACCGATTTTTTTCGTTCAATTCCTACATCTTAATCCGGCACTTGAATTCCGCCTCCGGCAGTGACTTTTTGAAACGAATCGCTCAAACTGCACGTAGTTTGATTTCATAATCCGGCAGTCGTAAATCGCGTACCGTACAGGTGCACTCCTTGCCAGGCCAGGCTAGGCCAGTCTGGTCAATGTTGTCCAGGAGACAACGGCTAAGCAGCCAACCATATTTTCTTATTTTAGCAAGGAGTAGTGTCCTGCCAGTTTTCAGGTGTGTGTGTGTGCGTGTGTGTGTGTGCAAGAGTACATGTGAACATGTTCTCTGTTTTACTTTATCACTTTATCACTGTGTATATTCCTGGAGAAAAGTTGAGAACATAAAGCCGTACACCAAATACTTGGGTCGACACGGAAAAACCCTGCGTTTTGACGTATGATACATGCATGCAATTGGGTAGGGCCGGGTCAGAGGGGGCTGGATTTCTTAATCCAGCACCCTCGTTAATCCAGCAGAAAACGACGTAGCAAAAGGTGCCGGATTAGAGAGGGACGACTGTACTCATTCTAGACAGATTTCACTGTACAACTGCTTTGTTGTAATCAGGGAGTAGTAAAATACCTACTACTCCCCGTTTGTACTGTACCTGTACACGTATAGCCATTTCCGCCCTAACTTGAAGTAACACCAGCTGATACTCTCCAGTTCTTATGTAGTGAAACCTGTCTAAGCCAATTGCTCAAGGAAACTTCTAAGTGCGGTCTCCGTGTACAGGTGGTCTCCTCGTCCAGGGTCGTTTGACTAGAAATTACATCCCTTGGTCCTGGTTGTAGTGGTCCTCTATTAAAGACAGGTAACCATCACCTTTTCAGAGTGGTCACCTTGACAGGCTTCGCTGTACATGTATATGCATGGGTGGTACATTTTTTGAATTTTTTCTCTCACTGTTCTTGTCTACAGTGAACTAGCTGCTCTGGTCAATGTCATGACGGACGTGCTGCACAAGAACAAGCTCAAGTCCATTCTCGTCATTCCTCCACCTGTTGGACGAGGGTTAGTTAAGGATATGGTCTTCGACGTTGCTATTCGAGAGGGACTTAAAGTATACTCCCTGTGCTGGTATCTTGTGTGAAGCTGGGGATGACTTACACACTTTAATACCATACCTAACTGAGAGATAAAAATGTGCTGGTTCACGATGAGAAACCGGTTAACCGTGAACCAGCACAATTCTTGAAAACGCAAAATTTGCATGCCGTGACAGTTTATCGCTTTACAGTGGCTGTGTGTTCTCACTCCTTGCTTTGACAGTAATCACAGGAACACGTAAACTGTCATTACCACCGCTATTTCAAACCGTGCACGTTGCTGCTTCACCGATGTTTACACTCTGGAGTGGCTTGAATCCGTCCTGTTTGGTCAGCTGTTTTACGTTCCTTTCGGCTTGGTCTGATTTCAAAGACACGGTCTCTGCCTTATGGCACTCCAGTGTACTACCTAGCATTTCTCATTTCTATTTGTGTGTTTGTGACTTGCTCGGGCAGGGTCATGTTCGATGGCAGTGACTTTGAGCGCTTGGCACCAACCGTCGATGGGTTCAGCTTGATGACGTACGACTTTTCATCGCCAGCAAGGTGAGCACTGCTTGCAAGTACCTTGAGTGTAGAGTTGCTGAAACTAATTGAACCGTCAATGCCTGCTGCTGTGGGCATGTTAGTTTATTGGGTTGGGTTTTTGGGGGGGGGGGGGGGGAGGCTTCTGCATTGCAACAAAATATCGACACATTCAACTCACCGTCAGGTATCGGCACGATTTCACCCTGCTATCATTCTTGTGAACATCTCCGCCGCCAGCATATGTACATGATTAGTTCTCTATAACATTTGCGTTCACCACTACAACATTGTGCTGATTATCCACGCACCACTTTCCCATCAACAAGGTACCAACGGACAGCACATCAACTGTAGGATATAGTCCACTGTTTACCCTGTTGAGCATTGTCTTCTGATAACCACGTCGTAGCAAGAAACTCTGATTACAGAAAGACGATTCTTCCATTCAGGATCCCAATGTGCGGTAAGGCTAGGCACTGGGACCCTGGTTGTACTGCGTACACTCTGCAATGCTCACTACGGTCATGTAGTCAGCACTTGTGCTCAGCACTTTGACCTGTGTGTCTGTATGTCTGTGTGTATGCATGTGTATGTGGGTGGGTGTATGTCTGTATTTCTGTGTGTATGTATGTATATCTGGGTGTGTATATGTTTGGGTGTGCAGCCCCGGTCCCAATGCACCCATTGGCTGGATGGAAGAGTGTGTGAAGGCCTTGGCACCCTCAGCACATGACCAGTACCGTAGTAAAATTCTTCTCGGACTCAATTTCTACGGCTATTCCTACAGTAGTCAAGGTGGTCTCCGTAAGTCACACTGCCTTTTGAAACACTGCACTGAGTACGGAGGAGGATCCAGGAGGGGTTTCAGGGGAACCCCCTAAATTTCGTAAATGTACTACTGGTAACGATATGAGTGTCCATGTACATGTATCAGTTATTCAATTTTGACTATACTGACCCCCCCCCTGTAGAGATCGCTGGATCTGCCGCTGTAGTAGCCAAGGTGGTCTCACAGTGCCCCAGCGCCCCAACACTACACTAGATATGCATGACTACATACACTACACTAGATATGCATGACTACATACACTACACTAGATATGCATGACTACATACACTACACTAGATATGCATGACTACATACAGTCAGACCTCGCTTATCCGGTCCTCTTTTATCCGGATCCCTCGCCATCCGGAAGGAAATCGTTGGTTACCGATTAACAGCATATGCCATGTACACATACAGTATGTGTGTTCGATTATCCGGTTCCCTCGCCTATCCGGATATTTTTATGGAAAACGGATGTGTGCGGTTATGCGAGGTCTGACTGTACACTACACTAGATATGCATGACTACATACACTACACTAGATATGCATGACTAGATACACTACACTAGAGATGCATGACTAGATACACTACACTAGATATGCATGACTAGATACACTACACTAGAGATGCATGACTAGATACACTACACTAGATATGCATGACTAGATACACTACACTAGATATGCATGACTAGATACACTACACTAGAGATGCATGACTAGATACACTACACTAGAGATGCATGACTACATACACTACACTAGATATGCATGACTACATACACTACACTAGATATGCATGACTACATACACTACACTAGATATGCATGACTAGATACACTACACTAGATATGCATGACTAGATACACTACACTAGAGATGCATGACTAGATACACTACGCTAGATATGCATGACTAGATACACTACACTAGATATGCATGACTAGATACACTACACTAGAGATGCATGACTAGATACACTACACTAGAGATGCATGACTAGATACACTACACTAGAGATGCATGACTAGATACACTACACTAGATATGCATGACTAGATACACTACACTAGAGATGCATGACTAGATACACTACACTAGATATGCATGACTAGATACACTACACTAGAGATGCATGACTAGATACACTACACTAGATATGCATGACTAGATACATGTGTACTGTACACTTTAAAGCGAGAAACTTCAAGCTTTCACTGCATGCAAACATGGTGTTTTTTATGAGCTGCACTGGTTCCCAACGAGAAACTTTTGTAATTCTATCTCATCAGGACTGAGGTGGATCTTGTATTGTCACAACAATGGAAAGAACAGTTTGCGGCGATTTGTATTCACGAATGTGGACTCCTCGCGAAAATGGCAAATTTTAGTCTCTAGCAAAATTTTCTCACTTTGCAGTAGTAGTCAAGGGGTGTCATCGATTGGCGAATCTGGATTGAGTGCGAGCAGGCGGTGTAATCCGAGCAACGCTGGCCCAATCGAACAAAACAAGGGTGTAGTACGCAAAATGTACGCATATCGTACAAACATTCTGTGAGAGCTGTCCTAAAACGCCAAAGTCCATTTCCACTCCAGCCA